GGTGGAAGGATTTCAAAAAATGGGAAGACATTTGCAAGGGGATGACTCAGTGAATACTCTTTGACGATCCAGATAAGAAGAATTTTATGTTTTGTTGTGTTTTTAACATTTTGCTTTGTGTTTTGAACAAGATATTTGTATGGTGTTGTATAACCATCATGTTTACTCTAATATTACAATGCATGGATCAATTACTCTTTTGTTATGTATTGACAATGAATGAGATATTAACCTAATGTGAAAGTTATGACAATTGTTTTGTCTAAATTATTCATAAGTATCTGTCAAAAATATGTAGAAGTATATGGCATAATTTGTCCAAATTATAGGTCACAATATGTCCAAATTATAGGTCACATATATCAAAATTATAGGTCACTTATGTAATAATCCTACATAATCAAAATTATGTAAAAATTATATGTCACATTATGTCTAAATTATAGGTCACATTATGTCCAAATTATATGTCACATTATGTCAAAATAATAGATCACTTATAGGTCAAACCAACTTATAGTTTATACCAAGTGAAACTTACAAACTTGATTAAATTGGATTATATGTCAGTTTAAATACACCAAGTAAAACTTACAAGATCAGTTTAGCCAAAAAAGATTGCATTTCGTAAGTCATGGTTACATAATTGACCAATTATGAACCAACCAAAAAGCATTATAAACATAGTAGAAAGACAATAAAGGAATTCAACTTTACATTTCAATAAAAAGTGTATGTTGACCATTAAAGAAAATAAATGATACAATGACTTTAAATTTCTACAAAATTCATCTGCCTTCATCTTCATCTGTAATTTCTTATTCTTCTTCAATGAAGATTCATACAATTCCTTCAAATTTTCAATAACTTGAATCTCCTTCACCTCACTCTCATTTTTGCTCCATTCTTCGTCTACCCTTTCATAAACATCATTTCCATGTGCAATATCATCATTCCATATGAATAAGTTACAAGTTTCCTCATTTTTCCAAAACGGACATTTCCAAAAGAGCCTTCCTTTATCATGTGCGTTCTTGTAGTGGTAAGAAATCATACGAGCATTACACCCATACCTTCTCCCTAGACGGTTGCTCACACTTGTGGAGTGATACGATGTTGATTTGCTTCTCCTTGATGAAGATAACATAGTATCTTGCTGTGAACGATGTGCAGAAGAATAACTCAAAAAAGAATTATATGAAAAAGACTAAAAGAGACGATGACTAAAAGGGACAAAGTATGAAGAAGAAGAAGAACACAAGGCCATCCTTTGAAAGAGACAAAGAAGACTAAAAGTAACGAAACATAATGGAAAAAGAAAATTAGGGTTCAATGTGCCTTTCATATTAAACAAAATATTTTATTTAACAATAATCCTACATGTCACACAAAAAGGCACATTCGACATTACAAGTAAGCCTCTATTAGTGGAATCTAACGGGAGGAACCAATTTTAGGGACATAAAAGTTTGCGAGGACCATTGTTTGAAAAAAAAAATAGAGGGACTAAAATTGAAAATTTTCCATATTAATAGGGACCCTTGGCATATTTAACCCTATTGACATATCATCTATATTTAATTCAAAATAAAGTTGCAACATTCATAATTTGCATGTCAGCAATTTTCTTAAAACATCCTTATTGGTTAAGTCTAATAGTAGTTGATCAAACTTCATTTTAAAGATTCTGGATATGATATATGGTTTATCTGGTGGCTTAAATGAAGAGGTCCAACTACTCTTTGTATCTCTTGCCAATTAGGATTTCATATAATGGTGATGAACAAATCTAGGAACTCGACCTTATATAAATTGCATCCTATTATAATATAATTTGTAAACCTACGACTGCCAATATAGGATGATGACAATACCATTATTTTTCTTGTGCTTGAACCCGGTGCTTGACTTTGATCAGCTTCTTCATTTAGAAATTTTTACTTCAACACTCTTAGATTTGTTTGGTTGTTACGAGGTCATTTCAATATTCCCGGCTCTAACATTGTGCAATTATCAACTAATTTTTTTTTTAAAAATAATCTTCTAGATGATAATAAATTTTTTGTCTCTTTTAATCTGCTTTGAATTAAAAATGAAAACAACTCTCTTATTGTAAGTCTATTTCTCATCTTGTTATAAAAAATATGCAAGTCTATATGTTCTACATTAGGTCAATCCATAAGAAAAAAGAAAAGGATAACGGTAAGCCAAGTGACTTGCATGGAATTTGTCTACTCTTTGAAGTTGACTTCGTTTAGTTTACATTACAATATCCATTTCCTCTAATGCGTCAACTTCCCCAACAATTAATAGATAAACATATGATACAGTACGTTGATTATATATTCTTTTATAGGCAGTCCTGTCAGATATTAGCTTCAATTTCAAGTTATGGAAATTGCCATCATTTGTTCGTTGTTTTTGTCATTTAAAAATATCTTATATGTGTGTTATATTCATACAACATTTAAGACAACTTTTGTATAATTAATAGATCAATATTTTTTGTATTTTCAATCATGGTGAGAAAAAGGTCTTTGCTAAAAATTGATATTTTAGCAATTTTTAGCGGTTATGCTTATAATACATAAGATATAATATATTTGTTTTCAATAATACACATTCAACAAAGGCAATAGGAAGTAGGAACATAGATGACTTAAACATATATATCAAGATAATTGTAACAGATTTATCTAGCTTAGGTTAATAATGAGAAATAAAAAATCTTTTATGCGTGTAGTCATGATTGTTCTCCCTCGGAAAAAATTTAGTATTGTAGTTGTGAAAGTAAAAGTTGACCTTTAATACTTCTCTTAGACCTTACATTTAATTTTGTAGTTCGTTATTAGTGCTATAGATTTACAACTATACAAATTTAGATGGTTGACCTTTTGGTGGCCAACTACCATTGTTAAATCACTCATCAAATTTGACACCAGGTGAAGCAAAGACAAACATCATGTTGTAAACTTTGATTTGATGTTGGATTTTTTTTTGTTAGATATATAATCTTGATCATACAGAAGATGTGATAAGACTTTATGAGGTGGTTTTAACGAATGGAACTCTACTTTTCATTTGTTAGTATATTTTTTTGGAATCATCATTAGAATATTCCTTGTCTACGATGGAGAATAAGTGTGTGTCAGATCTTCGGCTAACACGTTTTTTAATGAATTGTTAAATACATATTTCCCTCAAAGCCGATTCATTCAGGTTGGGGCAAACTTCCCCTTTAATTTCTTTCAAAATTGAGGGTGTGTGCCAGTTCTAGCCATCAAAACATACTCAACATTGAAGAATTAAACATAACACTTTCATACTATTTTCTTGAACCTTTTAATGAAGTTTGTAGCCAACTTATACAATTGTTGTTTCAAGTTCATCAAATTGTTCAATATTGATCAACTATTTGTACGGATAATACACAATTCTTCATGTTATTAGAAATATGTGGTGCCCCACATTTGATTTGATATTCCTCCCTTCATAACATTTTTCTTTTTCTCTCTTCACATGAGCATTTCATCCTCACAATATAACTCTATGTTAATAGCCGTTTCACTTTGTAACCCTATAAACATAAAACTTAACTAAAATATCAAATTGTTAAATTCTACTATCTTTTAGGGAGTTTAACATTCTCACAACATTCATTAACTCTATAGACTTGAAAAATATTTAATTATTTTATATTCGATTATATTAAGTTAAGTGGGATTTTGACTAATTATATTAAGTTAAGGGGGATTTTGTCTAATAATCATAAGGACAAATGTTAAAAAATCAAATATAGAAATATTGACTTGAAAATTACATTATTCAATTTCTTGAAATTTTCAAATTGTTCTTTTAACATTTTATTTTTGAGTATATTTTAAGATGTTCTTTTAAGGTACAAACTAACATGTTAGCTTACCAAAAAAAAGAAATACTTAGCTAAAAATATTTCATTTATACCGAGAAAAACAGCATTTCCAATTTTGTGGTATGTGCTTAATTATGGTCATAAAATCATATTGATATATAGTATATATATTTTTTTAAATCTTGTATACGTTCACTTTGATTAAAATCTGGATCCTATGACAATATCACCACACGTTTGGTTGTAGTTAAACTAACCGATTTGTTAGTAAGAATATAATGTTACGTTACTCTACAATCCAAACAGATCTCTCTCTCTCTCTCTCAAATTTGAAAAAATTCGTTTCCAAAATTTTACTATCTCATCATTTCACTTTTCTTTTACAAATCTAAACCCCACCATGGACCGGGCCGTACACAATTTATTTAATTAACTAAAATATTAATAATAATAACACAACAATAAATAAATCCAAATCAAATTCACGTTGAGCGCTTCTTCAAACCTCAACGGTCACGCATTTTCCCTTCCTTAAAATAAATAAAATTAAAATTAAAACGGCTACTCTCTCTCTCTCTCTCTCTCTTCATTTCAAACTTCAAACTTCAAAACCTCAATCTCATTTTCTCTGCAAAACTCAACTCGTTCCTTTTCTCATCACCACTCGACAGCACCAAAATCTAACCCTAAAGCGATTCTCCGATCTCCGTCGTACTCAGTCGTTCGGGTCAGTGTACTACTACTCACTCCACTTTTTTTCATCGCAATCCCTAATTTTCCGAATTTTCATTTCTCGTCCTAACTCACACACCTTCAATTTCACTTGTATTCCTTTTCTACCAACTTTCCATTTCCCCTCCTTCGAATCTCAAATCTTAAAGCTACTTTCAGCTAAGATCTATAATCAATCCTCATAATCTATTTCCCCCGTTTCTTTTTTCAAATTCCAGTTACGTTTGAAACCCTAACATTTTCAAATTATTTTTCTATATTTGCAACTTTTGAACCGATTTTATTTTAATCATTGTGTTTGCAACTTTATGATAAGTAAATTTCCAGTTGAATTAGATGTATTTGTAGCTTGTTTGTGCAAATCTGAATTTTGAAGAGAATGTAATGTGTCTGGCAGATGTCTAATCCTCAGAATGATCCGCTTTCGCAAGCTGAGACAACTTGTGGATCGCTTCTGTATGAACTTCAGGTATGTATTGAGTTTCGATGCAATGCAGTTATCTTTTCTGTAAGAACATATGTAAAAAAAGTTATAATTTATGACTTAGCAAGTTTGCGAAAGTTTTGAGAATTTATAATTGTTTGTTTTGATTTATTTATTAGATAATATGGGATGAAGTTGGGGAGGCTGAGCCTGATAGAGACAGAATGCTGTTTGAGCTTGAACAAGAGTGTCTTGAAGTTTATAGAAGGAAAGTAGATCAGGCGAATCGGTCTAGAGCTCAACTAAGGCAAGCAATTGCTGATTGTGAGGCTGAACTTGCAGCCATCTGTTCAGCAATGGGAGAGCGTCCGGTTCACATTAGACAGGTTGGTTGTTTTAATAACTGCATTAATTTGCTCTTTTTTGTTTTGGTCCGGCTGTGTTTGTCAACTGAAGATTCTTCATTAATAGCAAAGCGATTGCTACCCTATTTAAGCACAACAACTTTTACGATCCCAGGAGAGATGGCTCATCATTAATAGACCAAGGGATAAGTCATACCACTCATTCACATTCACATGGTGAATGTTTGGACCCTATATTATACAAGGAGACATTGGCCTTGCTAATGCATAGTTTTCTGTTTTTTTAGGTTTTTTTTTATGTTAAGTTAGACTACTTATATGATTGTTACTATGTGTTCCTTTTCTCTTTTGCCCAGTCTGATCAAAATGCCGGAAGCCTAAAGGAAGAGCACGCAAGAATTCTTCCACAGTTGGAAGAGATGAAAAAGCAGAAGGTTGAGCGTAGAAATCAATTTATAGAAGTACAAGAGCAGATTCAAAGCCTCTCAATTGAGATTTTTGGCCCCAAAGATATTCCTTCCATTGTAGATGAAACTGATTTGTCTACGAGAAAACTTGAAGAATTGCACAGGCAACTAAATGCACTTCAAAGTGAAAAGGTCAATTAATTTACTTCTATCCATCATTTTTTTTCTGTTTCATTTAACTATATTTTCTCATGTTGCTCTTTATCACTATTACCAATTACTAATAATGGTTGTTTGTTCTTTTCATGCAGAGTTGTCGCTTAAAGACGGTTCAGGAGCACCTGTGTACTTTAGAGTCTCTTTGTTTAGTGCTTGGTTTTGACTTTAAGCAGACAGTCCTTGGAATTCATCCCAGTTTAGGAGAATTAGAAGGACCGAAGAGTGTAAGTAATGATACCATCCAGCAATTGGCTGTTGCAATACAACAACTACGGGAAATTAAACTACAGAGGATGCAGAAGGTAAACAAATATTTAATAATAAATTCTGCCACTTTATATTTTGAATTTTCTGTTCTTTCCTCTACTTGATAGTTGTAAATCATGTGTTTGGCAGCTCCAAGATCTTGCAACAACAATGTTGGAGCTCTGGAACCTGATGGATACACCTATTGAAGAGCAACAGAATTTTCAGAATGTTACTTGTAATATAGCTGCTTCAGAACATGAAATAACTGAACCAAACACCTTATCTGCAGATTTCATCAATTGTGTGAGTTAAATGTTACTTGAGTATAATATGGAGTATCTTTATTTTATGCGGTTCATAATTCATGGAGAAGTACTAATACTAATGCCATGCAGGTGGAGGTTGAAGTATCTAGGTTAGAAGAATTAAAATCCAGCAAAATGAAGGAGCTTGTACTAAAGAAGAGAACCGAGCTGGAGGAGATTTGTCGAAAGACTCATTTGATTCCAGAAATAGATGGTGCAGTCGAATATGCTGTTGAAGCTATAGAATCAGGTAACATTCTATATATTTTGATGAGTAATGTGTTTCCTGGACATGATTGCAATTATTTCCTTTGCACACTTTGAAGTCTGTATGTTCTGTGTACAGGATCCGTGGACCCTGGTTGTGTGCTTGAACAATTTGAGCGTCGGGTTGCCCAAGTTAAAGAGGAAGCTCTGGGTCGAAAAGAAATACTTGAAAAGGTTGAGAAGTGGTTAGCAGCATGTGATGAAGAGGCTTGGCTTGAGGAATACAACAGGGTTAGTTGTTTGTATTTTACTTCAGTGTGGCACTTTGACTTCTATTTTTTCAATCATACTTGTCTCACTATTCGTTGGTTTCATCTTCCAGGATGATAATCGATATAATGCTGGAAGAGGCGCTCATCTCACTCTGAAGCGAGCTGAGAAAGCTCGTGGCTTGGTGAACAAAATTCCAGGTATTTATGGCTCAACGGTATAATACATCATTTAATCATTTGGAGTTTCAACTAAGGTGCCGATTTAAATGTGTAGTGATAGTGCTTAATAATATTCTGGCTTTGTTTGTGAGTTCCAAAAGCAAGAGTAGAATAAATAACCACAATTTGGTTGTTTTCTTTGATTGGTTTCCTTTTTCTTAACATTTTGTTCCACTTCAAGTTCATTTCTATGCCAGGCCATCTGCATCAATACTTACCTATGTTTGTGATATGTCTTTTTTTTTTGTATATAGCAATGGTTGATGTGCTGACTTCAAAAACTATGTCATGGGAAGCGGAAAGAGGTGTACAGTTCGCATATGACGGTGTAAGTTCTCTCTCTAATTCCCTGGCAGTTCTCGTACTAAATCAGCTTCAATAAATCAGTTTCAAATGATTCTGTCTGTTTTTTGGTTTTTTTAGATTCGCTTACTCTCGATGCTTGAAGAGTACAACATATTACGGGAAGAGAAAGAGCAAGAACGCCGCAGGCAGCGGGTATGGTCCTCCAAATTAATTACGGTTACAAACCCTAGTATTCTCTCTGATACCAGATTTTGAAAGCCCTAGAACTCTCAATGCTTGAAGAGTACAACATATTACAGGAAGAGATAGATGTTTTGTGTACTTTCTATTTCTCCTAAACTTGTTAAAATGTTACTTTTTCTGTTTCAGGACATGAAGAAGCTTCAGGGACAAATGATAGCGGAACAGGAGGCACTATATGGGTCTAAGCCAAGCCCTTCCAAGCCCCAGAGTGTAAAGAAAGGATCTAGGATGTCAACAGGAGGTGCAGCTAGTAGAAGAGTTTCTCTTGGAGGAGCAATGCTTCAGACTCCAAAACCTGATCCAAAAGCTACTAATTCACGTGCCATGAGAAAGACTGACAAAGTGCATCAAATTGAGCAACTAAGTTACCTAGAAGATGGTATTTCATGTTTATCATCAGGTAGTTTGTTCAAACTCTACTTTTGGTTATACTTTCGTGGTAGTCAATTCCTTGCATAATAAGAATTATAATAAGAGATGATTACAGGATATCTGTTTATGTTTGCTATGTACATTCTCTCAAACTCTTTGTTAAGTAAGTTAAGGCGGTATAGTGTATATTGTAGGAGGAAATGACATATCTGGCATAGCTATTTCCTTGATGTTTGTGTATCGCAAAATTGCACAAATAGCCACATATATGATTTATATATATAGTATTTTCTTATGAGTGTTTTTTTTTTTCTTTTTTTTCTTTTCCCTATGTGCAGCTCGAAGAGGACTGGATATTGCTGGCATTCCTGTTAAAAAATATTCATTTGGTGCTGCTAGTGCTAATGGCACGGAATCCCCTATAACAAGACAACCTAGTGTTCATGGCATGGAATCCCCTCTAACAAGGCAACCTTTTTCTCCCATCTCATCTAGTGTGTCATCAAAAGCAAATGTGGTAAATGCTGCAAATGAACATAGTACACAGAGTGAGAAGTTGCAGAAAATAATGCCACTCAACAATGTGCCCTTCACTAGTCCCTGCAAGGCAATGACTGTGGTTGATAATGAGAATAGAACTCCAAAGACAATGCCTATTCCTATCCCTGCAACACCTTCAACAGTATCAGTTCCTATGAATATGGCCTTGACTCCAGCTCCTTCATCAGTTTTGATGAATGCAGCCATGACTCCAGTTCCCTCGGATCCTTTGGGATGTGACATGACTCCAGTCCAAGAGATTGAGTATTCTTTCGAGGAAAGAAGACTCGCTTATTATATGTTAGCATGATTATTTTGTTTGGCCAAGAGATTGCTAGTATTGTTACCTGTGATGGATGGATAATCATAAGTCAATTGTAATTAGCTAAGGGATTGTTACTTGTGATGGATAATCATAAGTCAATTGTAATTGGCTTCCTGATTACATTACAAGAAGTGAATGTAGACTAGGATGTGCAAACTTAATGAGATTTTTCGGTGGAATGCAATTTAATTTCCTGACTGTTTATCTGGAAATGGTCATTTGCTGTATTGGACCCAACTATGGAGAATTATATTTTTATTTGAAAACCCCACCTTTAATTATTGTAGTTCTTCTCAAGTTACTTACTTTCAAATCAGCTCATCTCGTTTTTTTCTTCTTCTTTTCTTCTACCACTTCCACGACCCGTATTATCAAAATTAGTTCATAATTTCAAGATTCAGGATGGATTAGCATTAAAAACTTTTTTTAATTTGTAGTTGGAGTAGGAAACCGTATTGCCACATAAGTTCTTTATAAGTAGTATGTCTGTTGGCTCCTAAATTCGACACCCTTGCTTTTATTAATATCAGCCATTAAAGTTGAAGGATGTTTTTGACGAGCTGGGTCTGTCGAAATGCCATCGAAAGATGGCAATGTACTTAGAGGATTTCTTCCAAGGGAGAAGTTGGTTGCCTTCGACGTCGAAGGTGTTTCTCGTCGAAGATGCTTCTCGACGAAGGTGTTCGATGGTTCAGAGTGGAACGGTTTGAAATTCAAGCGTTTGGAGGGAAAACGGTTTCCAGCGGTTACCAAGTGCAACGTGCAAAGATCTGGAGCGTCGAACACTGAGAACGTGCCAAGTGGAGTCATCTTGAAGCAGTGTAACTGCCCGACGGTTACTTGGGATGTTTTAGTATAAATAGTAGTAGGTCACGCAGTTTCTCGCGTGTGTTCAGAATTATATACAAAGTCACTCATATAGATTCGAGTACCCAGCGTGTGAGAAAGAATTGTTGAGAATGTATGTGTGAAACACCACTTTTATTAATCAAAGTCATTTACTTTCCAGAAACTTTACTTGCTTTCTTCTTTACTTTTCTTGTCGAAGCCCTTTATTTCAAGCCTTCATTTATTTTATCAAGCCCATTTCTTCATGCAATTTACTTAAAGCCTCTTTATTTTCTTGTCATTTAACCATTATCCAACTTAATCAAAACCTCAAAATTAACCATGTCTTAGAATCAATCTGATCGATCCTGCAAGTAACCAAATAAGTAACCATTTGAAAGATCAGCGGTTGTTTACCAATAACCACGGTAAACAATGTCTCACAACTTGCTTTTAGTTTTAATATATATTACAATTAAGCATTTAATTATGATAAACTAAAACCCTATTTACAATGATGAAGAGATCAGTTGAATTTGGTCAAGATATGATATGCATCATGCAATTGGATTGGAATGTCTTCAACATATTGTTAGCTTGAGATATTTTGTTTGACATTTCAACATAAATCTGGAATATAAGATGTACGGGATTGCTAAGCGTAGGTGGTAACCGAGTCATATTTTCGATATTAGGTCACAAATTTGACATGTTGATATTTTTGACAGACGTAAGTGGAGGATTCAGACGTTTTCGACAACAATGACGGTTTGAAACGGTTTAAGAGGCAAAGACAGGAAATGGAGCAGAAGGCGAAAACCCACGTAGTAGTATACTCGTCGGATTGTGAAGAAATAACCGATGTTGAAAGTTGACGATGTACTTAGTATATAAGTAGATTTCGATTATGTAATCAAGGTTCACATGTCATTATATTTTCTTTAAAATTCTCACATTCGTGTCACAAGAGATAAAGAATTTGTGAGAAATATATGAACTTGTGTTTCATTCTTAATTCAAGCATTTTTTTATCCAATTGTTTTATTGTTATATATTTCTTTATTTATTTTATCCATTTCAACACTTTTTCATTTACTTCTTTTAATCTTAACATTGAAAAACCTTTTAGCATTAATACATTTTTCAAACGTTAACACAAAGTGTCATTTAGAATATTTTGATTTTGATCATGTAAGTGAATTAAAACTCGTGATTGTTTACTAAAAATATCCGTAAGCAAATCCGCACGCCCAATGAGACTCTTTTGTGCGAAAATTTAACCTTTTTTTGCGGAGAGTGTGTGATTTTTGTGTTTGCTTTTATTCTTCACACATCTAAATAATGTCATTTGTTGAGTGCTTATGTGTTTGAGGAGTGGTAAATTTGTCAGTATGTCTAGACAATCAGGGAGTTAATCCCTTCAAGGAGTTCCTCCTCCCCATAACATCACTCCAAATGTAGAAGAACAACCAATCGGAATGACGGTTAGTGGTACAATCACTTCAACAACCGTTGGAATAACTACTCATGTCGTGAGTCAGACGTTAGTTTTGACTACAACACCAGAAATGGTGATACCACCACCTCCACTAACTAACTTTCCTGTTAATCATGTGGTTAAACAAACCACTATAGAGGTACTAGGTCTCCATTCCTTGCAAGTTTTATACTTCCTCGTGGTGGTAGGAAGTATCCATATGGCATACCAAGTGAAATGATGATAGGCCCACAGACTGATACGTCAATGTATGTAGATAATGCAATGGTTTTTGCCTCTTCTTTTAATCCTTACATGACATCAAGATTTGCTATAAACAACACTGGTTGAATTGGTCAATCTCATAGAGGATTGGGATGCATCCCTCAGGTTATGCTACCTCTTACTAATAATTATCTCTTGGTTGTAAGGCAACTGGTGAATGACAGTAATCATGACATGGTTAACATGTTTATCCAATAAATTGGTATGATGTTCAATCCTTTGATCCAAAATACAAACCATAGTCACCAATAATTAACACATCAAATGGGTCAAATTGGTGACTTCTTTGGTGCTCCTTCAACACCCATTCATCTAGTTCCTAATTACCAAGTGCAATAACAAGTTGTGCCCTAACCAGTCAAACAACCTATACCCAAGGTAGTCAAAGACGTGGTGTTTGTAAATAGGAAAAAAGATGCATATCACGTAGTTAGAAGAGTCCAACAAAATAATTTGGGGGGGGGGATAACATAATCAATATGATTGAACAAATCCTAAGTCAGTATGTGAATGATGAATGAGTATTCAAATTGTGTTTGAAACTTGTTACCTGAAAGGGCATCATTCGCATATATTGGGAAGTAGCATAACTACCTTGCTAACTTTTTGCATAGAATGCGGAGGACTGTTGGAGGGACAGATCTCCGACTTCTAAGTTATTGAAGGTTCAGTGGTCAGGAGAATATTCCAGAAGCTTTAGTAAACACTCGAGCTGGACCCGAGATGTTACGCCTTCTGGTGACCGACTCAGAAAAGGAACATGCCTTGATTAAATCAATCTAGGGAGTTCTTTCCTTATGATTGTCGGATCTCTGAAGGAGAGGCCGGATCACGGAGGATATGGCCTGCCCAGAATAGAGATGCATCTTTGGACGTTGTTTTATCAAAAGGGAGATATACCCTTTTTTTTTCTCCCTTCTCAAAATACTCTCAAACTCAATCTTTAAACTCTCCACTCACATTCTCTCAAAATCATTCAACTCACTTCAAATCTTCTTCTATCAACATCAAATTGATTAAAGAGCTCACTCAACGTCAAACTTAACTTACATTTGATAAGTTTTTTTATTTTTCTATAGTTTTTTTATTTTCTATATACATTTGTAGAAATTAAGCATTAGGTTATGTAATATGTAGTTTAGATATGTCGTTTACATAAGCAATATGTTTGATAGGTGGTTTTATTGATCAATGCATTATTTTGGATGTTGGCATGGACTGCATTTCCACTATTGACATGTTTCTGAGTTGCAGAACCTTATGCAGATGCATCTTTGGAATTTTTCAATGCTTTGTTTCTCAGAATATGGAGATGCATCTCCATAAAACTTCTTATCTCAATAACATACTTCAGAGTCTCCCATTCCAACACGGCATTAACCTTTGACGGATAACTGAAATACCACCACTAGAAATCACATGACCAAGAAAACTCACTTCTTGCAACCAGAACTCACACTTGGACAACTTCACATACGATGTCTTCTCTTGCAAAGTTTGCAACATAAATCTCAGATGCTTCACATACTATATATTAGACTTGGAATATATCAAAATATCATCGATGAGCATAAACGGATCTAGATAAGGATGGAAAATCTTATTCATATATTCCATAAACACATCAGTCGCATTAGACACTCCAAGCGACATTACTAAATACTCATAATGACCATATCTCGTTCTGAATGTAATCTTTGGAATATCTTTTGACTTTACTTGAATCTCATGAAAACTTGATCTCAAATCATTCTTGTTGAAAACATATGAACCTACCAATTGATCCATAAGGTCGTTAATTCTCGCAAGAGGATACTTGTTCTTGATCATGATCTTATTCAGTTGTCGATAGTCAATACACAACCTTATTCTGCCATCTTTCTTCTTCACCAACAACATTGGTGCTCCTCACATCGACACAATGGGATAATAAACTTATTTTCAAGAAGGTCTTCTAACTTCTTCTTCAAATTTCCCAACTCTGATGCTGACATACGATACGAAGTCATCGACACAGGTCTAGTACCAGGTACAAAATATATGGTGAAGTCAACTTCACACTCTGGAGGAAAGTTATATATATCTCTAGGAAACACATCAGGAAATTCACACACCAATAACATATACCTCACCGCCACATCGCTCTCCACTCTCAGAGAAGCTAACACCACAAATAACTTATCTTTTTCCATCTAAGAAATCTCAACTTGACCGACAGACAAGAATCTCGGATCCGCATTCTCCCCGTGTTCAAGAAACAACACAACCTCCACAACACCTGCACTTTTGCAATCCGTGACATGCTAAACCAACACTCCCTTGAAACATCTCAGAAAATCAAAAACTTCCCCCCACTTGTTTCAATCCCACCCCGTTTGGAAAATAGTTAGAAAAA